AAATTTCAAATAAGCTCAATATTTCCACATTTATTATAAAAAGAAGACATTAAAAGACATGAAAAAGCCGATTACGACTCACCCGTCCCATAGTATCCTATGAAGTAGAGCGAGTGATCCGGCTTACCTCCCAAGATCCCTAGGCACGTTTCTAAGGATAACATCTGACGAATATGATCTATATACACCTGAAATGATGCCAACATTATGACCTAAAGGCAACGAGTTTCATCCTCTTCATATATTGCCGAGAACTCACTGGATTCACGCTACTAGCGCCAAGTCGGAGAGGAATAAACGTCAACAGGCGCTTCGACCAGTGACGGCATTCACGCTCGGCTTCACCCACTACGACCAACCCGTCCACTGCTATCAGTAAGGCAAGGTCACTTGTCAAGGGAGAGGCAGAGAGTTTTAAAGCTTTCCTGAAAAGGCGCAAAGTTGAAATCAATTTTCGTAATAATTATTTGGTTAATAGCGATTATCAAAACCTACTTCACTAGTGAGATTACTTCGCAAGGAGCAAACCACCGTCCAATCGAACTCTCTGTGGATTCACTGGCATTCGAAATCTGGAGTAGACGATGAATTCCGAGAGCTGCAGACGGACAGTCCTACAACGGGTGAACGATGTTCTTCAACATTGGTCGACTTGTTTTGAAAATTAACCCAAACAAACCAGTGACGTACTCAAACCATGGGAATTCATCTTATGATCAGCTTTCAGATATATTTACTACGTTGCGCGTAATAAAAGGATAAAGGATAAAGCATTTGCCGTTGATCAATCCCTTTTTGGGATGCGGCACGCATTCTACTTCCATTTGTACATTCGTAGTGGCGTTTGAATGCGATGTGGCCTATACAATGACTTGCGGGGGCCAGCCGATGTACAAGTCAGTGTTTTTATCCTCCCAGACAAGTCTGGTACCAATTAACCCCGGAGGATGGAAGGCTTGGTTGGCCCGGGCGACTCACGACCCAGGAATTTGATCCCGGACCGCTCGCGTGGTAAGCGCGCCACTTGCACTACCACCACTTCCGCCGCCCTGCCGTTGCGCGTAGTATCGCAGTATATTCTGCGCAAGATGCTAAGAAAGCAACTCATTTTCCTTGTTTTTGGGCAGCAAAAATAGCGAATGAATTGACATCTTTCCGGATGAACTGGATCTTTTTGAAACAGATACCGCTCTGCATGGCTGCAGGTTCACGACTGAAAATGCAAATGAAGCGAGGCAGGCAAGGAGACTCGCCTCATAAGTCTCGTCCCACTTACTAGTGACATCTACAATTGTGCAAACAAAAACTGTGAACTCTCCTGACGTATATGTAGTAAATGTGCCCGCATAAATCACAGAGTTAGGGTTAGGGAACTCTGGCGAAGTGAGCCTACTCCTCGTTCACTGTGTCTACGTTGATCCTCATTTGGAATGCCTTGAACGGTTTTCTTAGTGGACGTGACAAACCTACACCCAAACATTCAAGAAAAAATCTAAACCGCCTAACTTGCTTTGATTGTTAACTGCTGTTTTTGGCCGCAGTTCGCCTTGCGAATGTTTCACAAGAATGCTGGGTTGTGAACAAAACTTTCGCCCCAGGCGGGACTAGAACCCGCACCTCTCGCTTTCCGGGCAAGTGCGCTACCAGTTACGCTACCGGGGCACCATTTCGCCCTAACTCAACTTTCGGCGCACTTACCCAGTAAGCGAGAAGTGTGGATACGAGTCTCACCTGGGGCAAGAGTTTTGCTCATAACTATTCTTTTGAACTACGCTATATCTTGAGCGCAATGAGTCCCTTTACTAACCTCGAATAACTTCAAAATTGCCACCTGATCCCCATAAGATTGGTCTGATCCTGGCTGAGAAGCGAGCTCTTTTCGTCTCGTTGACTGTTTTCGCCCAAAATAACGCCAGCCTGCAGAAAACACGTCTTATCCAGTAAGTTCATAACAGTTAATCATTTAGTTACCTCGTCCCATTCTATTCACTATAATTGCTTGCGCAATAGCCATCTGCGTTGTTCGAATCATGCACCCCCAGCCACAGTCGCTTGTAACCTGAATCATTTACTTTACACCTCTATAAGCAAGACCTGGGAAACTGAGCAAGGAAAAACATAATAGAGCTAAGAAACCGGCCGTATGCGTGCGACAAAAAAAAACGGTTCACAGTCTCACTTATACTACTACAATCTAACTATCCTAATGCTCCGCAGTTATGAAACGACTAGCATACACCTCACTTGAGATCCGAGCAAAGGCGGCATTCCTGTTCTGTATGTAATCCACAGACGGGTATAATAGTCTCGACAGAAATCCAAAAAACCAAGGCCAGTCGGACAATCTGAACTAAGCAATCAATTATGGCAATGGATAAAAGATTCAGAAAAATATCACAAAAATTATCACTCCTGTTCTCCATCGCTTACCGCTCTCTTCAGGGCAATAGAATCGTCCAAGTAGCACGATCATTTTGAAGCCTTCAGACGAGTAATCGTCATCGGATAGTTTCAGCCACTTCTCTTCAATGGTCAAATATTCAAAACCAAGAAATACTCCGATAATACGGTTGAAGATGCAAACCGGAATATTTTATGCTGTTCCATGCGGAAGATATTTTATCTCGCCAATTGGAAGCATTCGAAGAAGAGCTCGAATGTGTCGGTTCTGAACTACGTGATTCTGAACTACGCCAACTGGACCATGCAGAGCCAGCTCTGAAGCACAATACAATCAAAATCCTTGGGTGTGAGAGCTACTACCAACTATTCTCAGCAATGAAAAAATGCGAGTTTCGTGACGAAAGTCTTACACGGACCTTCGGGTAAAACAGCACGGCCAATACACGGCGTAGCATTCCACATGAAGAAACGAACTTACCCAGGACTTCCACTTGGGCCAGTCAAATAACACTTAAAGGCAAACCCCGGGATTAGCCCGACTAGTAGGAGGGATACCACGAGGGAAATTGTAAGGTCCGTACCTACCTAGATCACTCCAGCTTCGTCGCAAAAATTGCGCGGTTAGGGCGCTAATCCTTACGGGCCTGCAACCATCGACCCCGTTCCAACGCTTCCCACCCACCGCGAGAGGTGGTGAGATCAGCGTGCATTGATGTAGAGATCAGCGTGCTCTCTCAAACGACGTGCTCTCTCGCGTATTTTGTCTTCTTTGACCGCCCTTTCTCGCCATCGTACCACATCCGACCCTATTGAAGGTTAAGGCCTTAATTTCAGCGTTCCCAAAGATTTCTCTTGCTTTCCTTTCCACTTTCAGGTCGTTCCGCAGCTAAGCTATCACTACAAGCGCTGATAGCACCTGTTTAACCCTTTGACGACCGCCGTTATGAATGCGTCACTTCACTTCTTTCTAAATTTTTTCATCAATAATCATTAACTCTCCAACAATTTCACTATTAGTAATTAGCGCATTATTCCGCGAATTCGATAATGTATTTGTGTAGTTTTAAAACATAAAAAATGCCAAAATAAACCCTAACCATTGCGGACCACCTTGCGGAGAAGGATAGTAATCTTCGATTTTTTCAACATTTTGCTAAGTTACAAAATCAGCAGTTTGCTTTTTCACACACAGGATATATCAAGTACTTGCGTACTGGTTAAATT